CTGAAGAACTCACCTTGAACGCACCAGGATCCCATATGGGTGCCTGACAGCCTCGCTTCCCATCCAGCTCCCTGCTTGTGGCCTGGGAAAGCACTTGAGGACGGCCCAAAGCCTTGGGTTCTTGTACCCGTGTGGGAGACTTGGAGGAAGTTCCTGGCTCTTGTCTTCTGATCGGTGCAGCACCAGCCATTGCGGCCACTTGGGGAGTGAATCATTGGATGGAAGATATTTCTCTCTTCTCTCCTCCTCTTTGTATATATCTGACTTTGCAATAAAAATAATCTTTAACAACAGCAACAACAACAAAAAGGCAATAACCAGGCCCAGAATACCGAACAGCTGCTGGCTGCTTTTCTCCCAGCAGTGTAAACTTGCCTAGGAACAACTTACGCAGTTGGGGAATATATAGATATATAAAGATATATATATATAAAGCATATAAAAGATTTATATATATATATAAAAGATTTGCTTATTTATATTGGAAAGGCAGATTTACAGAGAAGAGAAACAGATCTTCCATCTGTTGCTTCACTCCTCAAACGGCCGCAACAGCTGGAGCTGGGCTGAAGCCAGAAGCGAGGAGCTTCTTTCAGGTCTCTTATGTGGGTACACGGTCCCAAGACTTTGAGCATCTGTTGCTTTCCCAGGCCTATGCAGGCAGCTGGATGGGAAGTGAAGCAGCCAGAACATTAACTGGCACCATATGGGATATCAGTGCTTAAAGATGGAGGATTAGCCAATTAGGCCATTCGCATCCTGCCCTGAGCCTTATCTCTCATTTCTAGTTATCCAAGAATTTGCTGAAGTACTCTCATAGTTACGATGTCTTTTGCAAAGCTCCAGTTATCACTAAGCACTTCCCTAGAGAGCTACAATAATCTCTAGACTGGGCTGTTCAACTGAACCGGCTCTAGCCCCTTTCGAATCCATTCTGCCCTCAGCCCCACGAAATGTTTCTAAAACACTACTCTGATTTTAAGCATTGAGAACTTAAACTCTTTCTCCTTAATTTAGGACAAAGACCTAAACTCTTCCCACAGTCTCTCAGCCTGGGTCTGATCTGTAAGCCTCACTGTAGTGTCTCTAGCCACTTCCCTTTGTTCTCAGCACAACAACCAGGCCTTTCAGTTCCTCAGATGAACCCTGTTCCTCCCTCCCTTTCTGTCTTGGCAGACACTGTCCCCACTGCTTGGGGGTGATTTCCCACCCTTCCTCCACTGCTTTTCCATATCTGCTCAATGTCATTGCCTCAGGTAAGGCTTTCCTGCCTTATCACAATTCAGATTAACCATCTGTTTAGGTGTTTCTTCCCTGTGGGTCTCCAAGCTCTCCCTGGTGAAGAGACCTCTTGTCATACTCACCACACTGGGTGAAGCATAGGAAGTTAGGTTTAGAGGCAGGCATTTGATGTAGCAATTAAGTACCCAGGATGTCAGCATCTAACATGGTAGTGCCCAGGTTCAAGACCTAGTTGCGCATTTCTTCCAGCTTCCTGCTGTGATGTATCAGGTAGTGGCTCAGGTGGTTGGGTGCTCTGGCTTAATTTGGCCCAAAGGTTGTGGGCATTTGGAGGATAAACTAGTGGTTGGGAACTCTCTTTCTCTGTCCGTCAAAAGAAAAAAGAAATAAAGGAAGGAAGAAAAAGGATCAATACTTTTTTTTTTTTCTGAATCAACTGCAAGACAGACATTTCCTCGACTGCTTTTTTTTTTTTTAAGATTTTATTTCATTGGAAAGTCAGATATACAGAGAGGAGGAGAGACACAGAGGAAGATCTTCCGTCTGATGATCCACTCCCCAAGTGAGCGCAATGGCCGATGCTATGCCAATCCGAAGCCAGGATCCAGAAGACAGACATTTCCTTTACTTCGCATCCTTTCATCATTTACACATGAAACTTTCTGAGTTGTCATCCCCTATGAGGGAGTTATCTGTCTTAGATAGTAATCTCTGACTTCACAACTTTTAAATTGTGTAATGCAGTACTTTGCAGTGTGTCTTCAATGGGGTAGGGATGCAGTGTTGGGGAAGGAAATAGAACTACTTAACACCAGCCTTTGGTAACTTTGGTACCATTAGCCTGTGGGGGGCAGTGTGAGGTTAAAAGAGCACGAGCTGCGCAGGTAGACCCAGATGTGCATCCCTGCTGTATTATTTTGTAGCTGTGTGACTGTGGGCAAGTTCTTTCCTCTCCACTCCTCAATTTTCTCAGCCTATGAAATGAAGATATAAGAACAATACTGTGGGCCCAGCGCAATGGCGTAGCGGTTGAGGTCCTTGCCTTGAATGCACCAGGATCCTGTATGGTTACCAGTTCTAATCCCAGCAACCCACTTCCCATCCAGCTCCCTGCCTGTGGCCTGGGAGTGCAGTCAAGGATGGCTGAGGGCTTTGGGACTCTGCACCTGTGTGGGAGACCTGGAAGAGGCTCCTGGCTTCGGAAAGGCACAACTCCAGCAGTTGTGGTCACTTGGGGAGTGAACCACTGCACAGAAGATCTTCCTCTGTCTCTCCTCCTCTCTGTATATTCACCTTCCCAATAAAAATAAATAAATCTTTATTATATATTAAAAAAAAGAGAACAATACTGTTGGGTTTTTGTTACACTGGCATCCAATATGGCTACCAGTTTGAGTACCTAGTGGCTGCCCTACTTCAGATCAAGCTTCCCTACTAATGCATCTGAGAAAGCACTGGAAGATTGGCCCAAGATCTTGCACCCACCTTGATAAAGCTCCTGGCTTCAGATCAGCCCAATCTGACCAGTTACAGCCAAAAGGGCAGTGAACCAGCAGATAAAAGATCTGCCTTTTCTTCTCTCTGGAACTCTGCCTTTAAACAAATAGATACACCTTTTCAAAGAAGTTATATTTTATGATTATTAGAGGGACTCAATGAGATAATGCTCATAAACACTAAGAACAGAGCTTGGCCTTAGCTATTACTGAGTAAATACCAGATGAATATCTAAAAATAGCTATTTTTAACTGTGGTTAAAACTAATTTTTAAAAGAAAAGTGCTCCATTTCTCGTGTGGTTCTTGACGAAGCTTGCAAATATTTACAGTGAAGTTCTGTGTGGGAAGTCACAACTGAAACACTTAAAATCCAATGCCTCCTTCTCAATTCTTTATTTCTACTTTAAATTGAAGCCAGTAGGAGAAAAGAGGGGAAACAGTGGTCAGCTAAGTTCTGGTTGGCTCCAGTTTACACTCTGACACGAAGCACACTTGCATTTTCATAAGCCATTACCAGGCAATTGAGACACTAAGGAGGGCCACCTGTTGTTTTTCTCCTGTTCCCTAACAGCAACCCTTCTGCTTGATAAAAGACTGTTAAACAATGGACAAGCAAAAGCTGTAATAAAATAACAAAGGCAGAACTGCCACAAGGAAGTTCACTTAGAACTAGGGCTCTCTGCTCCTGGGGCTCTGGGAAAATATTTCTCACACTGGAGTATAGGAAGGAGCTCGCAAAAATCCAACAGTTAATCTTCCCTGAAGACTCAGTGTTCCCTCCAGGCCCCTTCCCTCTTCCTTTTGTGAAGTCACATTCAGTTCTGGAACAGAAGCTAAGAAACCAGCCAGCAGATAAACTGCCTCCCTGCCTCCCCTCCTGCCTGCCTTTAACCTTGTAAAAGAGCTGCCAATTCTAGAAATTCCTCTTTTGATCAGAAGATAAAGCAGAACAATGCTGTGGAGCTAAGTGGATTCCTAAGGGACATTCTTCCAGGGTGTGTAAAGCTTGTGTGGAAGTGTGTGTGTACCGGAGGTGGGTGGGGGTTGGGGGAAAGCTGGGAGGAGGAAGGGTGGCTGGACCAGAGCTGGCAGCCCATAGCTACAAGGAATAACCACACAGTAGCTTCCAGACTCCCCTCCCACGCAACAGAAATTCCATGTTATCTCCCAATTTCCAGTGAGCTGTGGACATATTTACAGTGGCTAGAGGGGACTCTCCTGCCCTCATCCAAGAAAAAGGGCAAGAAACCAGGTGCTATCTTTCTCCTAATTGCTGGAAGTAAATCTGTACTTCTCCAAGAGCTTTCTCACTGTATACAGAAAAGCCAGCCAACACCTCTTCTATGGGGAAAGGGCTTAATGAGAACACACACACACACACACACATTTAACTAGGAATTGCAGGCTAAGTCAATCGACTGCAAACTGGATTATTCAATTCTGAAAGGCAGCACAACCCCCTTCTTACTCTTTTAAGGGATAATTATAAAACCCGACAGAACTGGATTTGAATCCTATTTCTGTCCATAGGCTGTTTGTGCCTCAACTCCATCTGGGTCACTTTTCCTTTCTGCTTCCCAGGGTGTTAAGATGTTCAAATCTACCATTTGAGGGCCAAGTGCTTTACAAGCATAATCTCATTCAAAGCTCATGAGGAAGGTATTATTATAATGGAGATTTATGTGAAAGCGTTTGGTAATGTAAAATGAGCCGTCTGGCTGCGAGTTATTATTGTTGGGCTATTTTCCTTACCTGGCTGTTTGGAGGATTAAGCGAGACTGACGTGAAAGCGCAGTACATACTACCAAGCACTTTGCGTGGCCCACGTGATGGGCTAATTACACTCCCGACAGCACTAGGTCCACCGTGTGGAATCGGTAAATGCAGGTTGGAGGGAAACAATTTTAAGTCTTGCCTTTTCTTTTCAGTCTTCCAATCACAGACTATCTCTGCACAGCCTGGAGCCAAGACCACAAAACTGGGAGCTGCAGCCCGGATGGAGGCGGGAAGCTGGCCGGCGGGGCTGCCTCGGGGCCTCCTCACCCGGCTCGGGGCTGCGGGGAAGGACGCCCCGGGAACGTCGCGGGACTCCGGCCTCGTAGGCAACAGCTCCGGCCTCCGGCGCGCTCCCAGGCTCCGCCCACCACCTCAGGTAGGCCGTCCTCTCGAGCCAATCCTCCTGAAGCCTGGCGCGGAAGGCGGTGCTTGCGCCCGGAAGTGACGTACGCTGCTTGGCTGGCCGCGGAGTCGGTCGAAGCTCTCGGCGGCGACTGAGCCAGCTGAGGAGGGAAGATGGCTCGGGCAGTGGCGGCGGCTACTCCGGCTGTGGTGGAGGTGCAGGCTCGGGCAGCGTGAGGTGAGGAGCTGTCTGTGCGCCTGCGCCCGGTACCCTGGACACGGCGAGGGTGGAGAGAGGTCTCAGGACGGCAGGGTCCCTGGTCGTGGTTCCCAGTCCCCCTGGGTGCTCGCCGTTGACCCTCCGTCCCGTTCCAGGCGCTGCCCAGCCCGACTCGCCTCCCTCCGGGTCTTGCTGCCGCTCGGGCCGTTGGCAGCTGCCCCGTGGGAGGTACGGAGGGGCCCGCGAGCCCACCAGGCCCCTGCTTGTAGGTGGTGGGACTTGATGAGGTTGGTCGTGCCCCCAAAGGGGAGAGGAGACCACTCCTTCGTCCCCTCGGGACGGGGGTTCAGGCGCTGGGACCTGTCGCATTCCCGGTGTGTAGTTGTTGTACTGCTCAGGGATGGCTCCTTGTCGTCACCTCCCGTCCGGTGTCCGGCTTTGGGGACTCGGGATCCACATTCTTCTCCCTGGACCTCCCACCTCCCTTCCCGTTTCCTTCCTCCACCCCACCCCCTGTTTTTGCCGCGAATCCACTTGCTTTGGTAAAATAGTAGTATTTCAGGGTGAATTTAATGCATCATATTTCTGGGGGATGGTGAGATAAAAAACATTTGTTTAATTCTTCTGGGTTTTGGAAGAACAATAAGTAATTGAAGGACAGAAAAAAAACCCCAGATACTTATTTTCTTCGCTAAATTGTTTGGCTTTAGAAACGAGGTTTTCCAGCTCTGGAATTTTTTCGAAAGGGGGGCTGTGGGTGGTGGTGTGGAAATAGGAACGGAGGAGGGAAATGAAGCAGGAGAAACGAAGCGAGGAGGGAAGTCTGGAGATAAAAGGTGGCAGAGAGCCAGAGATTTTTCTTTTTTTTCCCCCCCCCCCCCCCCATAATGGCCTGGGAGAAGTTGAGATTATGTTTTGCATTTGAACGGTAGGTGTTTGTAGAGTGAAAGAAAGGAGACTTCGCTTTGAAAAAGGTTACACAGTAAAGGGATATTCTAATATTTTTCCAGGGGAGTGGGGGCGTCTGGCAGAAAAGCTCTGCTGGGGAAAAAAGTGTTTAACTGGTTGGAGCATCAAAGGCCACAGGGTAGGAGAGAGGCCAGAGCCAGAAGGCTAGTCTTGGAGAAGTGCTGGAGACGAGGATCCCAGGGAAGCCGTCCAGGACAGACTTTGCACCTTTGCCGCCTTGGCTGGTGATTCAGTCTGCACAGGAGGCTGCCTTCGCTGCCCGGCACCGCTGGGCTCCTCGCTGGGGCAGCACATTAGACGGAAATGCCTTAGTTGTGGTAAACAGACTTGGAGAAAATCGGCTTGTTTAATATTAAAACAGTGCCTGACTACTGAAAAACGTTACAGTTGCATGAAAGAAGAGATTTTATTATTTGTTACCCCAGATTTAGTTCAAAAGTGAATTTTGTATTGGAACAGATGACATGACTTGACTAATAGATTTTGCTTAGGAAAATCTGTTGGTATTTGCGTTTTGTATGTGTGTTGCTTGAAGTTTTCTTTGCGTGTATTTGATTCATACACAAGTTTCACAGTTTTTTTATATTTAATGGAATAAATGTTTGCATTTTGGAGTTGCAGAAACTACTGTCATTTTCTGTAGTTAACTGCAACTCACAGTGGCATTCTAAGATTTTGGATTAATTGAAGATTGCATCGATTCCCATGTTCAGAAAGCTTCCATGTAGCAGAATGTCATACACTTTGTAAATAAACACATTCCATAAGTGAGCTTACTCCTACGGAGTGTCCTTTTTCCCAGGAGCTCAGACTCCGTGTCAGAGCATCAGCCAACCTTTCAGAGCAGCAGTACTGTAAGATACATTAAACAATCTTTTGTGACTTTTCTTGGATAATATATAAATAATCTATTTTATTACTTTTGCATAATCCAAAAAGAATTTAATGCTTTTAAATGAAAGTGTCTTAGTGCTGTGTAGGCACATAGTGGGTGATTTGAATTGAGAGTTTTACCAAAGTAAAGCTAAAAATCGACCCTCTGAAAAATGTGTGAGTACTTGACAGTACTTGGCACAACAGGATTTGCAGGGATAGAAAAGGAGTAAGGCAGTGCTTGTCCTCTGGCAATTCTCTAAGTGGTCTGGGAAGACAAACATACGCATTATATGAGCATGCTTACAAAGGCTGTAGTGGATCCAGAACGCTGAAATGGTGCAGGCTGGAGAGGCAGCAGGCGTGATGAGGAGCATCACGATACTGAGATTAAGGCTGAACAAGTCACTTTTCTTCCATTAGTGGGGGTGGAGTGGGGAAAAGTGATCAGATTCTAGGTTTTGCTCTAACACTGAGTAGTGAGAGAATCTAGCAAACTGCTTATTGCTTCTGTTATCCATTTTGTTATTTAAGATTTAACCATATCTAATGCTCTGCTGTCCAGTTGACCCATTAGGTAAACCTAATGGGAATCACATATGTAAGGGACTTTGCAAATTCCTGCCCCCTGGATCTTCAAAATTGAACATGTATTTTAAATGCTTAGGATACATCTCAACTCGGCATCGTCACATTAGCTATATGTAGCTAGTACCTATCATAGTGTGCAATGTAAATTTAGAGTATGAGAATTCTGCCATTCTATTTTTTGGTTTCTTCTTGAAAAGGAAAAGCAACTTTTATGAGAAATATGTTACTGGTATAGTTTTTGATTATGTTCATATATTATATTTCTTGTGGGCATTGTGAACATACTTCGAAATATTAATGAGTATCTTTTAGGATATTTAGGGCTAAAAGAATCTGTTAAGCCACACTTTTGCTTTGTTTTATGCATTTTAATGATTTAAATGATTTTTAAATCATTTTCCACTATAATCTGCTGATCCTAGACTAATGGACTCAAAAGAATGCACACTTTAGGCAGTTAAAAGGATTGCAAACCATCTCTTTTGGTTTTCACAAAATTTTAAATGCAGATACTTGATTGCAAAAGCAAATATGATTTTGAAACATTCTTGTAAAGGATTAGAAGAAGGTGCTTGTTGACATAGCAGCATTTGTTTTTTAAGATTTTTTTTTTTAATGGAAGTTAGAATTACAGAGAGAAGCAGAGACAGATAAAAGAATCTTCTGTCTACTGGTTCACTCACTACTGCAATAACTGCCCGAAGTCAGGAACTTCTTCTGGGTTTTCCACATGAGTGCAGGGTCCCAAGGCTTTGGGCCGTCCCTGACTGTTTTCCCAGGCTGCAAGCAGGGAGCTGAATAGGAAGTGAAACAGCCAGGATAGGAACTGGCACCCATATGGGATCCTAGCCAATGCAAGGTTAGGATTTAACCACTAGGCTACTGTGACAGGTCTTGGTTTTTTGGTGGTGGTGGTTTGGTTTTTTTATTGGATTTATTTATTTTCATTGCAAAGTCAGGCCGATATTAAGAGGAGAGACAGAGAAGAAGATCTTTGTCCGATGATTCACTCCCCAAGTGACTGCAACGGCTGGAGCTACACTGATCTGAAACCCGGAGCCAGGAGCTTTTCCAGGTCTCTCACGTGAATGCAGGGTCCCAAGGCCTTGGGCCGTCTTCAACTGCTTTCCCAGGCCACAGGCAGGGAGCTGGATGGGAAGTGGGGCTGCTAGGATTTGAACTGGCCCCTATATGGGATCCTGGCGCATTCAAGGTGCGGACTTTAGCCGCTAGGCCACTATGCCAGGCCCCATGGGCCCTGTTTTCTTAATTTTGAGATAGTGTGTAATTGATATTTTTACTGTTAAATATTAGGCTTACTATTAGTCTTACAATGCAAGAATTAGATTGCAAATATTAATAATAATATACTGATTTTTACTCACTTGAACTGGCTTAAAGAAAAACACTAAATAGTTGCATTAAAAATAGGTAAGAGTTATCTAGAAAAGATGTTTTGAATGAAGGATTTGGAAGGATTCCATGATGGTTCAAGTACTTGAATTCCTGCCAGCAGCATGGGATACCTAGATGAATTTATTGTGACCATTTGGGTGGGTGAAGCAGTGGATGGAAGCATTTATCTTTCAAATAAACACATCTTTTTTTTTTTTTTTTCTTAAGTTCAGATGTTAAGTTCAGTAGTAGGAAGATGATGATAAAATGTTCAGGGCAATGTTATTTTGTTGCATAGGAAGGAAAGACTTGGAAAACTTGATAAGGGAAAATAAAGTATAGGTTTAAGGAAGAATTTACAAAGCTCATATGAAATGATGGGGATAAACTAAAGGTGAAGTAAAAGATGAGAATAGACAACAACTGCAATAGAGTTTATAGGTCAGTGGTCAGAACTTCTGTATGTGCAGTGCATGAATCAGGAAATCTTAGGCCACGAATTCTTTATTGCAGTAGATATGTTAGATCAAGAGAGCTGAAACAGATGTTCATGACTGAATGAGCAGCAATATAATACTAGCGCCTGTTATGAAATAGGTAAGGAGTTGAAAAGGAATTTGTGGGAAGAGAAAGGAGTAGGCAGTTTTAGTAGATTTAAAAATTTTGTGCTGGTGCTGTGGCACAGTGGGCTAATCTGCTGTCCTGTGGCATTGGCATCCCATATGGGTGCTGGTTTATGCTCTGGCTGTTCTGCTTCTGACCCGGCTCTCTGTTTATGGCCTGGTAAAGCAGCCGAGGATGGCACAGGTCCTTGGGACCCTATACCGTGTGGGACACCCAAAAGAAACTTCTGGCTCCTGGCTTCGAGTCAGCTTAGCTCTGGCCACTGCAGCCATTTAGAGAGTGAACCAGCAAATGGAAAACTTCTATTTCCCTTTTCTCAAAGTGTAAAAAGCTTCCTTTGAAATAAAAATAAGTAAATTTAAAAGACAAAAACAAAACTGGGGAATCCTAATGGAAACATGCCATTTTTCAAAAAAAGGTACTTCTCTGTAAAAAGAGAAAAAATAGTTTAAGAAACTACCAGTGGAAGCAGAAGAAAACAAATATTATATAAAGATCTATTGTTGAAAGAGCAGGAAAAGTAAAGACAAACAAAGGGTGGTTATTTGGCCTAACAGTCGATATGC